ACAGGGGGATGGATCAATGATTGGTTTAATCTTTTTACTTACTCGGCTTGGTGTTCATGAGCCCTTCCAAAATGGAAGATGAATTTTTTTCCACTATCAGTTCAAGTTTTGATTGATTGCTTTTGCCTTTTCAGAATGTCTAGATGAGTTCATAATAAAGTTCAAGTCCAGCCTTCCTCTTACTCCTCTTAACTCCCATCATTTTGGCGAACACTCAGCTTGCACCTCCAACCTGACCTCCGGTTGAATCCCTTCTACTATCCTATAGCTGACCGGCTTTTTGTGTTATTGTTGCCTTGGTCTCCTGGCTCTCATCTCACACTGGCCTTCATCAGGAATGAGAGAGAAAGGCCAGTCCCTGCCTGTTCAGTCTTCTGTCAGAATTGCATCCTCAGTGTATTTCCTTTTTCTTTAGGAGTCATACCCACAGGGCTTGGATAGACAATGGTGTGGTGACTGGCCTTCTAGAGTCCCTGTAGCTGACCCTGCTACACTGTTCTTGGACCAAGCCAATGGATTTCTCATCTCATCTGTATCTGTGGTAGAAAATCATTTCAAAAATAAAAACTGTCTCTGTATTATGCATGCATATTTTTCCTTGTCATGATTCCCTAAACAATACAACTATTTACATAGCACTGTCATTATATTGGGTCCTATAAATAACCTAGAGAAGAAATTCAAAGTTTAAGAAAGGGGAGCAGGTGTTATGTAGTGGGGGTGTGCTGGGGGGTGGGACACCCACGTCCCAGATCAGAATACCTAGGAGAGAGCCCCACTTCTACTTCCAGCCTCAGCTTCCTGCTAATGCACACTGTGAGAGCCAACAGATGTTGGTTCACGTACTTGGGTCCTTGCCATGCACACAGGAGACTCAGACTGAGTTCCAGGCTTCTGGCTTTGGCCTGGTCCAGGCATTTTGGGAGTGAGAAAGCAGATGGAAGATCTCTCTCTTGACCTCTGTCTCGCCCAAGCCCTCCTACCACATGCCCATCAAAATTTTTGAAAAAGAAAAAAAGTCTTTCAAAACCAAAATAAAATTTTTAAAAGCAATAGCTTCAAAGGGATGTGGGAGGATTTAGAGGTCATAAGCAAATACTACACTATTTTATATAAGACACGTGAGCATTTCAGATTTTGTTACGCAGGGCAGGTCCTGGAACACATCTCTGGTGGACACTAGAAATTGCTAGTGATTTCTTTGGTGTATCTGCCTTTTCTCACACGGATGTCTTCAAACATAACCCATATTAAACCTACGGGAAAGGCTTCTACTCTGTTGTTATTAAACCCAGTTTTTATGGTGAAAATTCACAACACAAAAGCTGCCATTTTAACCATTTGTAAGTATGCAAATCTGTGATGTTTAATATGCTCATAATTTTGCATAATCACTACAACTATGTCATTCCGGAATATTTTTACTACCCTAAAAGGACACCCAATTTTCGGCACATATGTTAAAGAAACAGACGAGATGGGCCCGGCACAATGGCACAGTGGTTAAGGTCCTTGCCTTGCACACCTGGGATCCTATATCGGTGCCGGTTCTAATCCTGGCAGCTCCACTTCCCACCCAGCTCCCTACTTGTGGCCCGGGAAAGCAGTTGAGGACTGCCCAAAGCTTTGGGACCCTGCACCCGCGTGGGAAACCTGGAAGAGGCTCCTGGCTTCGGATTAGCATGGCATCCGCTGTTGCGCTCACTTGGGGAGTAAATCGTCGGATGGAAGATCTTCCTCTCTATCTCTCCTCTCTGTATATCTGCCTTTCCAATAAAAATAAAAAATAAATCTTTAAAAAAAAAAGAAAGAAAGAAACAGACAAGAGTTTTGACTGATTTGCATGTGCCTGCATTTGGGAAGGAGACCTCAGACAGCACTTCTAGAGTAACTGATCACCAAACAGAAATTACTAACTGGTGCCTTGTATACAGGGAAAGAACTTGCCATTAGTGTACCTAAGTAAGATTACTTAGAGATAATAGAAGGGTCTTGAATATTTTGCTAGAAACCAGCATGAGCTAGTCTATAGTGTTCTCCAAACTCAACCTCCTGCAGGAATGAGGTAAGTAATCAAACATGAAGACCAGCTGGGGGCCCGGCGCGGTGGCACAGTGGTTAAGGTCCTCGCCTTGCACGCCCAGGATCCCATATGGGCGCTGGTTCTAATCCTGGCGGCCCCGCTTCCCATCCAGCTCCCTGCCTGTGGCCTGGGAAAGCAGTCAAGGACTGCCCAAAGCTTTGGGAACCTGCACCCGCGTGGGAGACCCGGAAGAGGCTCCTGACTTCGGATTGGCATAGCATCGACCGTTGCGCTCACTTGGGGAGTGAATCATCGGACGGAAGATCTTCCTCTCTGTCTCTCCTCTCTGTATATCTGCCTTTCCAATAAAAATAAAAAGTAAATCTTTAAAAAAAAAAGACCAGATGGTATTGAAATATAACAGTAAATTAAACCTAGTAGTATTGACCACTGCAGCCTTAATATTCCATTACTCAAGTCCTCCCTCTCAGTCATTTTTGTTGTTGTTGCATTCTAATAGCCACTTTCCAATTCAAATGCAGATAGGTGAGAAAAATTTGATTCTGTAGATGAGTATCAAAACCAAACCCTGCAAGTATGTTAAAGCTAGAGTGAGAGTATACAAACTCGTTTCTGCCTTTGGGGTTCAGGTAGATGTTTAAGCATCCTATCACTTAAGTGTCCAACAACTGCTATGTCAGGATTTATTGTAAGTTTCATTCAACAGCTTTCCTACAATAGGCCTGGGACCTGAGCAGGACAACATTACAAATCCAGTCACAAGATAGGTGATATTTAGGAAGCTTTGGGTTGCAAGTAACAGAAATTTAATAACAAGCATTTATAACCTCACAGAGTAATTGCAAATAAAGACAAAGCTGGGTGCTTCATGGGGAAGGAAGGAGTTAATTAAAACTACTCCCACAGAAGAGAAAATTTTTGTATCTGTTACTATACAGCTTATGAAAATAATGAACAGGCTCTTATAAAGACAATGAAAACAATTGAAATCAGACAACTTGCAAGGGTATGCAAAATTGACTGCGACTATTTCCATGGAAGCATAAAACATTTTTCTCCATTCCCAAGGAGGTCACTTGTTAGATATTTGTTTAGCCATCTGGATACTTTAAAAAAAGAAACTAGCCTATTTAGATCCATTCTTTTCTAAAAGAGAAGGTTCTAACAATAGGACTTGAAATTACTGGGTCATAAATTCTGTAGCAAAAAAAAAAGTCTAGAATCAAATATAGAATATTACTACGTCAGGTTCAAACATTAAAGCATATATCAGGCTCCAAGTGACCCTGCTGCATTAGACATATCCAGAATTAGGAACTGGGCAGGTCTGCCACAAGCACAGCAGTGCTCTGAGCTTAGAAGTCCAAGAATAAGTGAGGTCAAGTTCATTGTCAGACTCCTGGTAAATAGGTCTTGGAGTCTAAGCAAAAGAGTTGGCGGAAGCCAGAAAAGTCAAGAGGAGTTGAGGAACGCTCTGGGGTCCAAAGTCAAAGAGAGGAATCCCTTGCTGCACCACATCATCGTCTGCCCCTATCTTGTTCAACTCTCAGCATCTGGGAACTCTTTCTTTGTGGGGAGCCAGGCCCTGAGCTCTTCAGAGCTGCTCTCTGCCCTTTTGTGCCCTCCTATGGGCCAATCAACAGTTGCCCAAGCATGGAACCCCAACAATGCGCAACTGAGTAGTGAGCTGAGGTAGTCTCTCTCATTCCATGACACGTTATTTTTGCTTGAAAGCATGACTGGCAGATGGATGATGGTTGCTTGGCAGCAAACAGCATACAGTAAAGAAGGATATCCAATTATCAAAGAAACCCAACAAAACACTTTGCTTCCAACTATATCTCTGTGTAGGACCAGACTGTTTGCATCAACTTGAAACAAAGCAACAGATTCGAGAATCCAGTTGTCTTCATAAGCCAAATCCTCAAGAAGGAAAAAAACAACACTTTTCTTCTTCATATGTCTGTGTGTGTATGTGTTAGGAAATATTTAACTGTTGAACATTAAATATTTATGTTAGCGTTTGCTGAATTTGTTGTTATTTTTATATGCATTAGTAAATATTTTAAGATGTGTCACTGGTGAGCATTTGGCATAACAGCGAAGACGCTGCTTGGGACAGCCACATCTCCTATCCGAGTGCTTGGGTCCGAGTCCCAGCTCCATCTGATACCAGCTTCCTGCTCATGTGCACCCTAGAAGGCAGCAGGTGAGGGCTCAGACAGGGTCTCTGCCACTACATGGGAGACCACTAAGTTCACATGGCCCAGCCTCAGCTATTGCATTTAAAATGTGAACCAATGGATGAAATATTTCTCTCTGCCTGCCTGTTTCTGTCTCTCTTCCTTTCCTCCTGCCCTTGCTCCCTCCCCCATAGTTTAAACAGAATGAAAATACATTTTAAAAATCTATCCATTTTATTGTCAAATATGATTAAAGTCATGTTCAATTTAACCCACATAAAAAAAGTTTGGGGATTCCTCAATAATTTTCAGATTGCCAAAAGTTTCTGGGACCAAGAACTTTGCAAACTGAGAATAAAGAGACAATTGATTCTGAGCTTACAACAAGTAATTTATTTTAGTTAATCAATGAGTGAACCTGGTGCTTACCAACAACCCTAGCTGGGGGAAGTTTTGGACATTCCATTGAATTATGTATATGCATTATATCAAATTTGGGAAATTCATTAGGTGGTTAATTTCTGTACATCAATGTGGGAGGGCCCAGGTGTCCAGATTTTTGGTCAGCTTCCACCGTGGACATTTCTGTAGGGTAGTTAATGTGGGTGACGTGAACAGTTAGCGGACCTTGACCAATGTCTGTGATCTTCCATAGTGTCCAAGGAACTGAAGGCCCTCATGGAACAAACATCATCTCCTGCCGGAGATGTCTGTCTGCAGAAGGCCTTCAGAATGGAGCTGAGGCATCAGTCTTCCCCGAGTCTCCAAGCCACCCATGCACTCAACAGATTTTGGACATTCCCACCTCCAGAACTGAGTATTTGCAAATAAACCTCTGCCTCCAAATATATACACACACAGAATTGGTTCTGTTGGCTCATAAAAAAACCTCAGTGGCACACTAATCTTCAACAAGCAGGATTTACAATAACATTCAGTAGGCGCTAGTGTGGTGGCTCAATAGGCTAATTCACCTACAGCGCTAGGATCCTATATTGGTATGGATTCATGTCCTGGCTGCTCCACTTCCCACCCAGCTTCCTGCTAATGGCCTTAGCAAGCAGCAGAGTGGATCAGGTTCTTGGGCCCTGGCACCCATGAAGGAGACCCAGAAGAAGCTCTTGGCTCCTGGTTTTAGATCAACTCAGCTCTGGACACCATGGTGATTTGGGAAGTAAACCAGTGAATGAAAGATCTCTGTCTCTTCTCTCTGTAAAATCTACCTTTCCAACAAAATAAATAAATCTTTTAAGAAGGGAGATACAGAAAGAAAGATTTGTTTGTTGGTTCACCCCCACAAGTGGCCACAATGGCCAGAGCTGAGCTGATCCAAAGCCAGGAGCCCAGGGCTTTGGGCCATCCCTTATTGCCTTCCCAGGCCAGAAGCAGGGAGCTAGACTGGAAGTGGAGCAGCTGGGACACAAATCATCATTCATATGGGATCCCAGTGCATGCAAGGCAAGAATTTAGCCACTGAGCCATCATGCTGAACACAAAAATACACAAGCTTTAAAAAAAAAGCAGCCAATAGATCCTTGGAGTAGGAGGGATTTGAAGGAAGGAGAAACAGAATATCTTAAGAGTTTTATTCATGATCTTAACTAAATGTTCAAAATATATTGAAATAACCCTGCTAAACATGGGTCTGGTTTCTATGGAGTTGGGCTTCCATAGCTAAGGTCCATGCCTGGCTGTCACATACAGTCAGTTTATTTTCTCCATGTCGCCACACCCCCACTCTTTTCACCCCCCCACTCAAAATTCATCCCCCAAGGCTTGAGTATTTTGATTTTTCTCAGTTTCTTCGATTTTGAGAAACTATTTCCAAGCAGGGTGTTAATGACTTTACACCTCCCAGAACAATTAAAGAATATCTGAAGAGAAACTAGTAGCATGATGCCCGCATGTAATTAGTGTCTTTGCCAGGTGTCTGACCTAGTAAAGACCTTGGTTAGGATCCCAGTGTCTGGCCTTTGGTCCTGGCTCCACCCTAGGGTCCGGCTTCCTGTTCATGTGTACCTCAGCAAGCAACAGCTGATGGATCAAGCACCAGAGTCCCTGCCCGGGACCTGTGTGAAACCCAGACTGAGTTCCAGGAGCCTGGATGTGCTGGCCCCAGTGCGGCCATGACAGATACTCATAGAGTCAGCAGTGGATGGGACCTCTATATTTGTATCTCTACCTCTCAAAATAAACATATTTTTAAAGCATAATTAATTTCTAATAGCGAATGATGAGAACTGTAATTCTAAATAAAAGAATGACCTGGTCTTCCTGAGGTGTCTCAAATTGGACAAAGGACCTGATTACCTACCCCACATATCCCTGCTCTATTTCATTTATTTGAAAGGCAGCGTTACAGGGAAAGAAAGAGGAGATTTTCCATCAGCTGGTTCACTCCTCAAATGACCACAACAGCCAGGGCTGGAACAGGTCAAAGACAGAAGCCAAGTGGAATTGGTGGGGGACTTAACCAGCAGCACCCACATGGGATGAAAATTGCTGCAAGCAGTGGCTGAAACCTCTATGCCACAGTCCCAGCCCCTGTCACTCCTTCACAGAGCAGTCCCTGGAGCTGTGTGGCTGCAGGGATCCCAGCAGCACATCTGGCACATTGAGGGGACACTGTGCACAGTGCACGGTTGTGTGGGGTGAAGAGCTAGAGGAGCCTCTCCTGCATCAGCTCAGCCTCCTGAGCCACACAAACCTGCACATCGCCTCTTCAGAGCAGGGAATGTAGGAGCGGCCATGGCGAGAACAACCAGGCGTGAATGCTTCGTCTCCCACTCACCCCCATGCAGGATAGCCTTGGCACCTGTGCATTTAGTATTCTAAATTCCCAGTGCTGGGGAGGATACAGTAAAAGCAAGTCCTTTTCTGCAGTGTTCGCAGAACTTTACACTGATTCAGCCTTCCTGGAAGGCTAATTAGCAACAGACACAGAAAACATTTCAGAGTCTGGGCTGTCTGACCCACTAATTCTGCCTACATGAACCTGTCTTAAAGATTTATTTGTTTTCATTGGAAAGGCAGATATACAGAAAGATCTTCTGTCTGCTGGTTCACTCCCCAAGTGGCCACAGTGGTTGTAGCTGAGCCCATCCGAAGCCAGGAGCCAGGAGCTTCTTCCAGATCTCCTAGATGTATGCAGGGTCCCAAGGCTTTGGGCCTCCCTTCTCTGCTTTCCCAGGCCACAGCCAGGGAGCTGGATGGGAAGTGGAGCAGCCGGGAATACGAACGGGAGCCCATATGGGAAGCCAGCACATGCAAGGCAAGGACTTGGAGCCACTGGGCTACTGTGCCAGGCCCCGTAAATCTGTCTTAAGGTGACAAGCTGTTCAATAAAAGGACAAAGAATATGATTTTTGGTAGGATTAAAAATTATGCATAGAGCCATATAATAGGATATACTGCAAAGTATTTTAAATACATTTGGAACAAAAGACTGGACGAAAATATGCCTAAAAAGACTGTCAAGAACAGAATTCGAGCCTTCCCTCCTCTCCCTGGCTTTGTGAGTTGAAGCCCTGCTCCCTGGGTTTGTGGTGGCTGGCAGGGGACGCTGCATGTTTGGGGAGTAGGTTTCTAAGAGCTCATGAGGCTGGGGCCCTTGTGATGGGATTGGTGCCCGTTACATACAAGAAGCATCTCCACTACTGCTGACCTCCAGCCTGTGGGAACTCGGTGCGTGTCATGCTGGTGATAGCTGTGCATTTGGTTATAGCAGCCATACAGATAATGACAATGACCTGAACTTGTGAGATTATGGGTGACTTCCATTTCTTCTCTCTCTAAATGTCTCCTGCCACGTCTCACAATGTTAATGAATTCTATTTTAATTTTTTAAAGGCACAATTCTTTATTATTGCACAACTACATCCCCACCATACAGACCAAAGGGAAATACAGAATAAAACATCAGAGTTTCTCTTTTAACATACCCCCCAACAATTCTTCTCAGTGGCTTTGGCTTCTCAAAGATTAAGTGCCAATGACAGCTGCAATATTTCCCAGATATTCCACTTTGCCTATATAGCTGTGCAAGTCAATGCAAAGATTTATATCTATTCAGAGTTGTACTTTAAAAAAACGTTATTTCTGGGGCTGGTACTTAACCCCGTTTAGATGCCAACGTTGCACACTGGAGGATGCGGCCTCCACAAGTGCCTCTCACAGCCAATCCCGGCATCCTGGGAGGCAGTAGGAATGGCTCGGGTTGCTGGGTGCCAGTCAGCCAGGGGGCACGGGGACTACGTCCCCAGCTCCTGGCTTCTTAGGGCAGCTGTGGGCACTTGGGGAGTGAACAAACAACGGGAGTTTCGTTCCCTTTATCTCTTGCTTTCCTTCTTCCTCTTACCCTCTCTCCCTGACTATTAAGCAAATGATGTTTTAAAAAACGTAAAGTCTACTTCTATAAGTAAATAAATATTAGAAAGCATTGCTTACAAAAAAAAAATACAGAAACGGCTACTTCCAGTAGTTTTGTTTGACTCACACAATGATTTGCAAGGGTTCAGAAAGGGCAGCATTGTGACAGAGCAGAGTAAATCACCACCTACAGTGCTGCCATCCCATAGAGGCACGGGTTTGTGTCTTGGCTGCTCTACTTCTGATCCAGCTTCTTGCTAAGGTGCCTGGGATAGCATTGGAGAACAGCCCAACTGCTTGGGGCTTTGTGTTCATGCGGGAGATCTGAAAAAATTCTCTGGCTCCTGGCTTCGGCCTGGCTCAGTCCCAACAGTTGTAGACTTTGGGGAGTGGCTCAATGCATACAAAAAACGCAAAACAAAACAAAAACTCACTCTTTCTCTCTATTTGTCTGTCTCTGTCTAATTCCACCTTCTAAATAAATCTTTTTAAAAAAAAATTTTTAGGGCCTGGCACGGTAGCATAGTGGCTTAAGTCTTTGCCTTACATGTGCCAGGATCCCATATGGGTTCTGCTTCATGTCCTGACTGCTCCACTTCCCATCCAGCTCCCTGGTTGTGGCCTGGAAAAGCAGTTGAGGACAGCCCAAAGCCTTGGGATCCTGAAGAAGCTCCTGGCTCCTGGTTTCGGATCGGCTCAGCTCCTGCCATTGTAATCACTTGAGGAGTGACCCAGTAGCTGGAAGATTCTCCTGCCTCTCCTTTTTTGCAATTCTGACGTTCCAATAAAAAAAATTTTTTAATGCAAAAAAGGTTAAATATCTACACAAGCAGTAATTTCCGACAATATAATCAGCTTAGCATCTAAGATCATATTCCTGCCTCCCACATTAACAATGCCTTCTTAGCTCCCCTACGCTTGTACCTTCCAATCTGGGTCTCCTGGACATATTCTGATTGATACGCACACATACCCCAAATACTACAGTCACATGTCAGTACACCTACACCCCATTCTTTTCTGCATGGTATTTAGTAGTAAGCATGACTTTTATCATTGCAATTTCTGAAAAATAGACACAATTTCATCTTAAAGGCATTTACATTCCAGTTTTCAGTTTGTTTTCAGTGTTCCTGTCTGTTCATTAGTTACGAAGCAGGAAGTCTTTTAACTGTTTTACCTGTTTAATTTTTCATCAAAGATGGCTTGTGACAAGGTGCACTGCTCATTTGGAAGGCATTCTGCTGCACACCACATCCATGAGGCCTCCTCGTTGCAGAGTGGAAAAGAAAAATGAGTCTCCAGAAACTCCTCTGAACAAGCCTGCCCTTCACACAGGACAGATGATTTGTCCAAATGTCAAAGGGATCTTCGTAGTTTTTGTAAAAGTCCTCCATAACCAGAAAGTAGCAGTTGGTTCCTGGTAAATGATATTTGCCTCTCTTACCTTGATTATCCTCATTTCTCTATTCACTGCTCTCCTCTAATGATCCGGTGCCTAGCTAGCTGGAGTATTTAAAATTCGCATCTTCCAAATTCCCAGGCACCCAACTGCTCACTCAGCAGGATGCTGCTTGCTGACTTCACAGTCCAGGGTGGTCAGCAGCCATTCCAGGCATCTCTCCAACAAACGCAGAGCCTGTGGCAGCACTTCTCCTTACCCATTTGCCTTCCTCCTCCTGCTCC